TTTTGAGCCTGCATTAAAAGGGCGAAGTAGATTTTTAAATAAGTGATCGAAGTAAATGTGTACAACTCATAGCCACAGTCTAGATCCTTTTGAGTAAATTACTTTGCGCTATAGTTTGGATACAAAAATGGAAGTAACTTAATGCAGTCCAAGATGCAAAGGATATGGATGAAAAGCCCTCATATGACGATTGTTGGCAGAGTTCAAAGTAAATGAGAGGAAAAAGTGCGACTTAAATTTATAGCTTCCATGTGTCAATCACTAAAACGTTATTTTAAAAAGCGTAAATCAAGTTCACAATGTCAACGTACACTTCTGTAACTGAAAGGACAATTGTTCTCGCCTGTCAATACTTTGAACAGCATAATATATAGTCTCTGCGCTAATACAAGCAAAATTTACTTAAGGCGCCTTTCGGAATTTCTGCATTTCGTGGATTCATTTAGACAAAGGCAAGAAGCTTTCCCGTGATATTTGCATGCACCCAAATACAGTCTTGCTGATGCGCCAATTCTTGATTCCCTTCATTTGATAAACGTTAACAGTTAACCATCGCCTCGCGAAGTAACGAAACGATTATGGTACTCTACTTCCCCTTCTTCGACACTGCAAAATTTCTGTCAAGCAAACTTGTTACAAATGCGGCACACGCATCCGTATGCATCGGATGGAGGGACAACATGAATCATAAAATACCAGGAAGTAAAACATACACCCCTGTCCAATGGCAGGTTGAATGAAGACACGTACTGGTGGCCTACGCCCCTATTTGAGAAGTGCCGATTGGCGTCCTTCATGATGGCAGATGAAATTGGAGGTGCATGGAGTTGTAAGGTAAAAATGCTGGCAAGAATGTGGTTCGGAATGACTGCAAGGTTACGACATCCCTTCAGTTTTGTAACAACAGCATCTTCGTTGGTCAAACAAGGTATTCAAATATGCAAAAGCCTGCAATCGCTTTTGATAAGTAACATTTTAAAATGTTTATTTTTAAGCTATTCGTTTATAAGTATAATTGATCTCTCTGGAGGAGCCCAGGTGGATTGGTAGATACGAATCGAGGTAGTTCTGTGCTCGACTTTTATTCAGACTGAGTTCCAAACTGCAGGGGCCTTCAAGATATGTTACGCTTTCGATTTACTATTCAATGCGCAAATAACCCTTCCTTTGATTGACTGTGACTCCTAAATGAACAACTGATTTTGATGAAATGGTTAAACGGTGATTGGATGTACTGGCACAGTGCCGCAGCTCCAATTTAGTGGACAGGTGCTCACAGTGTTTATTACCTATCTGAATATGTCGAAAGGCTAAATAAAATCGCCTTTCAACAAATGCCAGTTGGTTGGGTTTTGTGTCGCAAAGGGTGCCAATAATGGTAAGTTTTGGTAATTGCGATCGCATATGCTTTTAAATTAAGTGCTTTAAATAGGAAATGACTAACTTAGTATAGCCAATAAATCAAATCCAAATTTTGAGCATCAAATTTGGATGTGGCTGGTAGACGTTCTCACAGCTAGCAAATAATGTAAACAAAGAAGAGAAAGTCTTGCCTGAACGAAGAGTTCGATTATACAAGAAATGGTGCCTACCCTTATTTTTTCCAGATCGTTTCCTTGAGTAAAAATCCTCAAAGTATTGTGCCTGCCGACACACAGCCGCCGCCGCCATGGTTGCTGCAACAGTCGCATAGTCGGGTGGCTCGCACTTAGTTTGATAACTATGCTGCCATGGTGTCTCGAACCCATTCGTCCCCCCACAAAAGCCAACTGCCTCTGCA